TTATTCTTCTTACCTACCATTTAAGTCATGATCAAGTTGCGTCCATAAGAATTATGCGTCCAGCGTTACAATAATATTGTTCATATTATGAGGTATGTGTAAATTGTATCTACGGGTTTATAAAGCCGAAAATCGTAGGAGCATTATCGGCGATAAAAGAACATTATTCTGAAAGAACTTTACCACACATTGCTGCTATATCGTTCCTCTTAATAAGGAATTTTATACTATCATTATATTTCTTATATTTAAAATGTAAGAACTTTAAATTTCGCCACATAAAAGTATTGGATTTTTTATCCTAAGTTTTTATAATTTTCCATACAATATTCGCATTAAAGTCGTCAACGCCTGTTGCATACTTTGCTCGGTTATACTGTTTTTGTAGAGAAGTAAACAAAGGATTTGAAGAATCGTTCTGTGATTCTGAATTTACAATAGATTTGATACCTTTAGTCGTAATCCTTTTAATCGTACTCAGGCTGACTCCACAAATGACCGTTGTAATTTGTTGAGTCTGACAAAAAACACTTTTATTCTTTGAAATAATTATATGCATTAAAAATGTTATTTTTGTACGTACCTTACAGCACAATATTTTAAAAACCACTATATATACAGTGCGACAGCCGACAGGGTGGTGAAACATAATAAATTAATAACGAATGATCGATAACTTTTTCGTGTCAATGACCGCCGACCGCGAGCAGTCGGAAGGCTTCGACGTAGTATACGGTCGAAGTACAGGAGGGTATCTGTGCGTTAGGGGAAGACTTGACCCCATCACAGGGTTGAATTAAATTCATCGACCACACCGCGTCGGCAACGTCGACGCCGTATGCAGTTAATGATTTGAAGCTTATCATCACTCATACTATCGTATACGCATTGTGTGTTTGTTATCGTGGTTTACCAGAAACGGCGACTGAATGTCGCATCATTTTATCACGTCGTTGCCAATTATTATACAATGTAAACAGTAAACACTACAAATAGTAAGTCATCCGGGACGCCATTCGAGATAGTATAGCGTGTTTTTTTTATTTCCACATTTATATTTTTTAATATCAGCGTGTTTGCACTGCCATTGCTGAATATCATTCACCTACAGGCTTCGTTCAATCGTTCATGACTTATTAGCCACCATTCGGCAATCTACTCATTCACGCAGTTCGATTAAGTCATTGACTAGCTCCGGCGGAATACATTTTCTCGGTGCACGTCGTAATCGTCTCGCCTAAAAAGCTTAGATTGTCTGTGTGCCCAGTTGTCATAGATAAGCATCTATATGACGGGCTATATTATATAATTTTGAATATAATTTATATATATAAGGTATGAATCAAACATTTTAAATAATACTTTTGATATTTCATTAATTGCGAACTGTGTTATACATGTAACTTAAAAAAAAAAAAAAACGCTAATGACTTTTTTTTTAGATACCATGGATTCTTGTTTTATTTGTGATGAAGAACTGCATGATAATTATGTACGGTTATCTATGACCCACACACCATGTGGAAATGTATTATTTCCAGAAAAAAATGCCGAGCTTCTTGGAGAACCATTTGTAATTATTGTTAAGAACAATGACTACGCGCTTAAGAAATGGGCATCACTTTTAAAACAAATTGATAAGTTGGAAATCGATCTAAAACTATTTAAAAATTCTATGTTGTCTTGTATTACAAAGAAAAATGGAATATAAGTTAATGATGAGGATGTCCGGGTATTTATTGAACTTACTAAAAGTAATTTATCTGCACTATTATACATTTTTTTTTCTTTAACTAGGCAATCGAAATGAAGAAGGACAATTTGAAGGATGACGAATCATCAAAAGTATCTCATCCTTTGAAATTAACTGAACGTTCTAAGATCATTATTCAATAGGAAAAACGTCCAATCCAGTTTTTAAATACCCAACACAATCCACAACAGGCTCCTACAGCGATACAAGTACCTTTAACACAACAAGTATTGACACCACAACAAGTTTCAAGCTCGCGACAAATATCGAGGGAACAAATATTGGGAAAGCAGTTACAAGTAAGTCTGCCATAGCAAGTATTGACACCACAACAAGTTCTAATTTCGCAACAAATACTAAGAGAATAAATACTAGGGAAGCAGTTACGAGTAAATCTGCCAAAGCGAGTATTGTAACAAATACCGAAGTGCATACCAGAATTAAATCCACAACTACTGCCGAATCAACAACAATGTAATCCTAACACTGATAATACACAAATCGGATACACACGTTCAGTATGTACTTTAAATCTAACATTTAATTATATTACTTTAAAGATATTATCAACATTTTCATTTCAGAAAACACACGCCTTCGAGTTCAAATCAAATAGAACCGAAAAAACTTATTTTCAATCAAAATACTGATAAAATATTAACTGCGGTAAATAAAATGTGTTTTTATTAAACATTAATATGCAATCAATGAACATTTTTGTAGTTCTTATATATTTTTATTTTGTTTGACTTTATCACATTTTCTTGTGAACACTTATAAGTAGGCTCTAAAATTATATTTATGTATTTTACTGAATTGACCAAAAAAATTACTAAATCAGCTACAAATGTATAAATCAATACTAACGAAAAAGACAACATTTTTTTATCCAAGTAATTACATATTTTAAGTTTTTTTATTCATTCAGATATTTTTTTAAATGTTCATTTTTAACTGCACATTTAAATAAAATATGGTATAATTTTTAAAATAAAGTATTCCTGAAAGTCCTTTCGGTAATTATAAAAACAGCATATTAAGCACGAAAATGCATGCATATTTCGGTAAATTTTAGAGCATAAACTTACAGGTCAACAATCTTTTATCACTATTTTTGCAGTTATAATATGTAATAACATGTCTTTATTAACATGTGTAATGTAGTACATACTATACATACCTATAATATTATAAATTGATAATTATAAGTGTGCTAGATGCGTCCAGGCATAACACCTAGTGATTTTAATGCCCTCAATGCCTTCATAAAATAAAAAAATAAATAATTTAAAAAAAAAAATTTGTAAAATTAAAATTGTTCACTTTATGCAGTTTATAATTTTAAGTCTGTGAACAATTATTAATGCTTAGGCGTGTGGTAGCTAATATTATATATTAATCAATGTTAATGTGTACGGAGAAACTAATTATTATTTATTGTTTTATTTGCGATTATTATTTTTTTTAATTGTATTTTATCTTTAACTCATATTCTCTTGGACATTTTTGATACGTTCAAATTGTATTTTTCTATTAAATGTTTATTAAAAGTATATTAAGTTTAAAAAAAAATTCTAATAGTTTAAATATAGAGGGACATAAATAATATTAGAAAATTAATTATTAAAGACAATTTATTAAATAGTAGTAATGATAAAGTTTATTGTTTTCAATTGTTAGAAAATTGATTATTTTTATATATTAATATTTTACATACTCATAACTTGCTTAAAAATTTAAATACCGTAAAAACTGAGGATACAACACAAATAATGTTCATTCCTTTAATGTTGATAATAAGTCATTTAACACTAATATTTAAGCTAAACACACTTAATTAAAATCCACTGAATAAAAATGTATTACGTTGTACGTAATACTTGCTGGTGTGGTGTTATGTTCATAACGTGCATTTAATTTGATCTCATGATTCATGAATAAATTAAAAACTTTACTAATAGTAAACTTAATTTAGATACCAAAACAGAAAAAAAAATTTATAACTGCCAAGCATGTACCAAATGTTTTGAAGTCCGAAAGCATTGTATTGAACACATTAAAAAAGACCATAAAAAGCCAACTTTAAATTAGTTGACTAGTGAACAATATAAAAACATAACAAATCATAATACATTTATTAATTGATTTTAATTTTAGGCATGAAAAAAAAGAATATTCTTGTCCAAGTACTTTCAACATCTTAAAAATTATTCCCAAGTCTAAGTTTCGAACAATTAATCATAATGTGGAATTTCTTATGAATGATAATCAACAGAATAATAAAAGAGGTACCTATAAATATTAATATGATATTGAATAATAATGTTCCTGTTGAAAAATTTTACAAGAAAGGGAATCTGAAATTACAGAGGAAGCCGGAGAAAAACTGAAAGAAGTCACTGAAGAAATAAAAGGTGCAACAAAGCTTTAAGAAGTTAGGCAAGCTAAAATTTCCAACAATATTGAAAAAAACACTTACAATTTTAAAAACAAAAAAGATGATTTGTGTATAAAACCTATGTTAACTGCAATCTTTTTTTTAAATCCCTCTTAAGTCAGGGATGTACAAAACTTATCTTAATATTTATATAATTAATTGATTAGTTAGTAATTAGTTAAAATTTTTAATTTATAAGTTCTAATTACAAAATTTAAAATGTATTTAAAAATTTTTTTTGTATTATTATCTAAATAATATTATATTTTTTAAGAACTGTAGTTTAAAAAAACTTTATTAATAATAATTATTATTTAATAATAGAAATAAATTACCTATTTCTTTTTATAAATTAAAAAGTCTTTCAATTCGGTTAATAATTCCATTTTAGTGTAAACTATTTAAAAATATTTTGCAAATTTTATTTGCACGTGCTATATTATATTAATACACAATTTTGAGTGTAATATACTAGCTAGGTATGAATTAAACATTTTAAGTATCTATACATATGTTAAATAATACTTTTGATATTATGTTAATTGTTGAAAACTGCTAAACATGTCACGTGAAATTTGTTTCTAGATACCATGGTCATTGTTTTATATGTAATGAAGAATTGAATGGTGGTTTTGTACGATTATCTACGACCTATACTCCGTGTGGAAACGTTTTACTTCTCGAAAAAATCGGCGATCTTCTTGGAGAACCATTTGTGGTTATTGTTAATAACAACGACTACCTGTGCAAGAAATGTGCATCATCTTTGAACCAAATTGACAAGTTGGAAATTGATCTAAAACTAATTAAAAATGCTATGTTGTCATGTATAAGAAAAAAACACGGAATATTAGTAGATGATGAGGATGTCGAGGTATTTATTGTACTCAAAAAAGTAATTTATCTCCGCTATCATAAAAAAAACATATTTATTTTTTTTTATTTTTAACTTAGGTCATTATTATGAATACGGACGATTCGGAGGATAACAAACCATCAAAAGTATCTCATCCTTTAAAACTAACTGAACGTCCTAACATTGTTATTCAACAGGTAAAACGTCCAATTCAATTTTTAAATGTACATCATAAACCACAACATGCACCTACTGAGACACAAGTATCGATGCCACAACAAGCTCCAAGCTCGCAACTAATACCAAGGGAACAATTACTAGGAAAGCGTTTACGAATAAGTCTGCCAAAGCAAGTACCGCAGCGGGTATCAGAACTGAACCCACAACTACTACCGAATTATCAACAATATGATGCTAACACATTGATAATACAAAAATCGAATACACACGTTCAGTATATACCTGACATTTAATTATATTATTTTGAAGATATTATTAATACTTTCATTTCAGGAAACATATGCCATCTCATTCAAATAAAGTAGAATCAGAAAACCTATAACAAATCAAAATGCTGATAAAATATTAACTCCGGTAAGCAAAAATGTGTTTTTACTATACGATAATTCATCAATATGCAATCAATGAGTAAATTTGAAATTCTTGTGTATTTTTATTTTGTTTGATTTTATCGCGTTTTTTTATGAACACCAATAATTTATTAGTATTATACGACCCAAACCACAACAGGCACCTACTGCGGTACAAATACCAATGTCACAACAAGTATTAACGTCATATCAAGTCTCAAGCTTGCAACAAATACCGAGGGAACAATTACTAGGGAAGCGGATACGAATAAGTCTGCCAAAGCAAGTATTGCAGCAAACATCGAAGCAGATGCCAGAACTGAAACCACTACTGCCGAATCAACAACAATATAGAGCTAGTACATCGATAATATAAAAATCGGATACACACGTTCAGTATGTACTTGATACCTGACATTTAATTATATTACTTTGAAGATATTATTAACATTTTCATTTCAGAAAACAAACGCCTTCGAGTTCAAATCAAACAGAACCGAAAAAACCTATAACTGATCAAAGTGTCCTGTTCATAACAAAGATTTAAATTGGTCTAGTGTATAAATCATAAACCTTGTTAATATTAAATTTAATTTTGATACCAAAACCAAGGCCACAACAAGAAGTAATGAAAGCTGTAATTTCAAACAATGCTGAGAAAAACACTTAGAATTTTGAAAACATAAATGATGACTAGGACATAAAATCAATGTTAATTGCGATCTATTTTTAAAAACTTATCAAAGTCAAGCATGTACAAAACGTATCTTAGTATTTATATAATTCATTGATTAATTAGTAAATGGTTATAAATTAAATTTTATAAGTTCTAATTACAAAATTTAAAATATATTATTCTCATTAAGATTTTTTTTATACACATACTGTTAAGGTAATATTATTTTTCAAATACTGCAATTATTTAAAGAACTATATTATTATTTAAGAATAGAAATAAGTTATTTATTTCTTTGTATAAATTAAAAAGTTTTACAATTAGGGTAATTATTCTATTTTAGTGTCAAAAACTGAAAACTATTTTACAACATTTTATTTAAGAAAATCACTTCTCTTTTAAAATAAATCATTTCAACTTTTTTGTTATCAATAAATATAGTTAAATCAAATTTATAAGCTGTGATAAAGCTATAAATAAAATAATAATAATTACAAATTAAGTTTTTTAATTTGATAATTTTAATTCTAACTTATTAATTAGTTGTAATCAAATATTATTGTTACATTTTTTTAGTGAATATCATATTCGTAATGTATAAAAGTTGATATTAAAGAAATTAAAACTAACAGTTAATTTAAAATCATTATTTTATTTGTATTATTTTTAAGATAAATTTATAAGTTTTTATGTATGGTTGAACCTAGACATTAGTTTTTATAATTTTAGCTTAATCAAAAATTGGGTTTACTTAAACTAAATTTATATATATCTGATATATGTGCAGTGTGTCATAGACCATAGATATAACAATTATGCCAACAGGTTGAAAAATAATTTCGTACAAATTGTAGGCTGTGGCCTATAGGAAATCGCTTAACTAATCAATTTCATTTTTATTCGCAAAATAGTATAAAAATAATTACCTTCAATAATAAATTAATGACTATAGTCTTACATAAAATTATATGCAAATTACTTTTTTTTCTAGATAGTAATTATAGAAAATACTTCTTAATATTTTTCCTTTGTCTTTCTAAATAATAAGTTTAAAATAGTTTACGATATATGATTTAAATTTTAAAACAAATTGTTAACTAATTTAATAATTATCTATAAAATAACATGTATTTTTACGGTCCACTTTAATAATAGTCTATAAAAAATAATGAAAACTCTTGAGATTATTATTGACTGTTGCATATTACATATAATATATACCTTTTAGCTTATAATATAATAGGATAAGGTTTATGACAGAATGCCGGTTAGCAAAGGCCAGTGTTATAATATTTTTATTTTTTAAATTTGTAATAATACTAGGTTATAACCAGTAACTGTCGAAAATGGGGGGGGGGGGGGCATTGGGGAACAAGAACGCCAAACTGCGTCTTTCATTATTTTTTTAATCATTTAAATTAGTTAAGTTGTTACATAATAATTTCCTTTATTTTTAGCTATTTCATTTGTCTGATGTCAGCCATGATTTGATTTATATTGTATAATACGTTTATAAAAGTTAAAAGTTATGGTGGTCCCGTGTTTTTGTTAATAGTTATATTCGAATTAAAAATGAAATGTTATGCTTACAATACAATTTAATGTACTTCTATTAATTAAGTAATACATTAATCTATAGTTTAAAATAATTTTAATTGCACATTGTAATATGTGTTTAAGTATGATTACCGTAGTTATTAACACAATTGTACAAACATAAGAAAAAGAGATAATTGTTTCGTGGATAATTGTAGACATTGATACCTGCGTTATGGGTGTATAAGATCAAATCCATAGTACTATTTTTACAAGAATAATATAAATATTAATTTTAGTTTAGTTAGTTTATGAACGAGTATAAAAAAAAATGATATCAATCTTTTATATTAACATTTAAAAATTAGAGAAAGATAAAACACGAAATTATACACTCTAAACTATCCGGTAACATTTGTATATTGGTTTTTATTGGTAGCAAGTTTACCTACCACTTTATATACGTATATAATTATGCACATTGCATATACATCCGGTCTCTGCCCCAACGTGGAGATATGACCTTACTATTTTTATTGTTTAAATTCAGTGACATTTTTGACAGTGTAGACTTTTGAAAAATCTCCCTGCTATAGAGCATTTTTTTTTACATTGATATACATAGCTTATGAATATATGAAATGTATTAAACGTAATAGATTTTAAATGAACACTATAGTTTTTATAATTGTCAAAAATTAAACCCACTCTATACGTGTCAATTTCATTAATAACATTAAAGAAAAACTAATAATTTCCCCTCAACTTTTTGTCTGCATCTTAAAAATCTATTACAATTAACAATAGACACAGTTTCAATTGTAATATTCATTATATTCTTATATTTTTATTTTTAGTTTTAAAAAAATGTTTAATACATTTCTTTACAAACTCATAGTTTTTTTTTAGTAGAAAAATAATGTCTGTTGAAAAGTATTTATTAATTTATTATTATCTTTTTTTTTTTTTTTTTTGTTATACAAATTAAGCATTATATCATATAAGCGTTGTGAAAGCAGCATACAGTTTCTCTGTAACGAAACACAAAGACAAAAATGATCGTAATTTTTAAATATTCCAAACTCGACTATATTCATTGAATCAACAAGATGTATTAGATGCGTGTTTTATCGTTTTCGAGTATCCTGTTGATCAATAATCGTTCAATATTTTTAAAAACTTGAAGTGGAATTCCAAAATATTTACCTGAGGTATTCAAAATGTTAACCCCATGCCTCCTTTTGGTCTTCACAATATTTTAATGGCTCCCAAATCGGTACAACACGATTGCGCCCAACTAATTAACATGATTGAGCCCGTTTTACCTTTTTACCTGCACAAAACGCAATGCGATTGAGCTCCAATATTTATATGTGTCTCTTATATGATTTATATATATAATATAACATATACGTATTCCGGTGTTTCCGAATTGCGTGCAAATATCATTATTTAGGATGAATAAAATTTATTACGAGAATCGTACATATTTTTTCTCCACAATCTAATGTTAGAATGAACAAAATTTAAATCACTTTCAGTGCTGCGTAGTTCTGTTCTTGTCGAATTATTTTGTTCAACCTTATAAATGAGTCGTTTATTACATTAATTTTATTTTCCAAATTTTTGCTACGGCTTTTTTCGCCAACTCTCCCCTAAGAGCCGGGATGCATAGTTTGATTACCTCTGTATTATATTTTTATACATAATACTTCTTTGTCTGCATACCCCTCTTTTCATAAAAGGCCACGTCATACACTACATCTCATCGGCGTATATATATAATAAGTATGTTTATATATACATGTGTGTGTGTGTGTGTGTGTGTGTGTGTGTGTGTGTGTGTGT